GCGCATGGCGGCTGCGCATCACGGTTCAATCTCCAGTGACACTCATAGCGGAAAGGATGGTCTCCCTGATCGAGTGGACCATCTTCTAAATCAAGCGTAGACATTGGAGAATGTGCGCAACTAAAGGGCGATGAAGGTGTGCTATTGCAGGTTGAGTTGGATCAAGTCTTACGAGAGATAAGACCATTTAAATCTGAACGATGGTAAACGTCATTCCTGTTTATACATGTAGCGCTAGTAATTGCTGTATTCGGATTCCGGATTGACTACGGTGCGCGTGCTCCTCTTGCTCAGCGTTCAGCTCGAAACCGAGCTGCGCGCTGACACAACAGCTTCACAAGGGCTCCGTCCCTCGCGGCAGTACAGCGCACTCGAAGCTCGTCGACGTATCTTTCGAGGATGTCAAACACTACTGTAGTGAACTGTGGGTTTCCGCCTCGGTTTCACTTGCAGTTAGAGCCGGAGCTGGGGGTGTTCACCCAAATGCGTCTATAGCCCAGTGGCTAGAGGACAATGGGTGGAAATCTGGTGATGTGTCTGACGCCTGCCGGCTGACGACATTGCAGGCACTTGGACAGCCAGTGTCCTTGTGTGCTGTACTAGTATTTAGTGCATGTTTCCTTTTTGGTGAATGCGTGCCCACTTTCTACTGCTGCTGTCGCTCTGATCAAGTGACAGCAGCATTGAGGAGGAACGGACTGGCTAGTGTCAGACCCATGATCCTTCTCACTCTTCAATTCGCTAGGAACTAGCTAAATACATTCGGCCTCTACTTCTGTGCGGGTTGGTCTTCCTACTTCGCTTCAAAATCCCGGGCGATGCTACAACTGCTTCGGATTCGACCGTGTATTGAGGAGCTCAAACCGCTCGCTGTACACGGACCGGTCCCCTTTGTACTTGGCTCCTCGGTAACGCGTCCGATGAGAGCGACATAGATGACCCTGCAGCAATGCATCTCGAAGGCGCCGTTCTCTCTCAAAGCCTGTGCAAATATTCAAGGCGATCCAACCTAACGCAACAGTGCAGCTAACGCTGTCTCCACTATATATATAAAGAAATAATATATTCAAAATTTAATTTTCACAATAATTAGCAATATTTTAATTAATGGAGAATGGCATTAGTATTTACTGTTCATTTATGCAAACTTAAATTTAAAATAAAAGAAGATCTGATTCCGAGAGAGTATTATAATCTAATAGCTCAAGATTTAATACTTAGATGGTGTGGACTTTTATAATTACTACGGCAATTTAATCTGATACTAATCAGATTCAGACCAGATCTGAATTATTACAATAGTAATCGGGCGATTACTATTCTCTGTAAAAAAAAAAATTACAGGTACTATTGCTAACAAATTTAACGTCATATTTTATTTTACGAGATACAACTCTTGCACTGGGAAAGTTATCACCGACAACAAGGGAGCCATGACGGGCATGACCAGGTGCGTTCAGCCGCTGGTGCGCTGCGATGTACGAACTAATACATGTATGCTGCTTCTCCTACTTAGAGTGGTGATCATCCAGGACGTCAATATCACGCAGAAGTATCAGGAACTGCTGCGCAAGTTGGAGACGATGGGTGGGGAGAAGCTCGGCCGGCATGTAGTACACTGCCGTCTCTTCAACCGCAAGACGCTCATGGGTAAACGAATATGATAGTGCTGCCAGCCAGTAGAGGTGGATCTGCTGTACTAATGAGCTGTGGGGTGTTTAGATGGCTACGTCAACCAGCGCATGTTCATGCTGAGGATGTCACAGAACGACGACCTGGTGTACGCTGTGCTGGCCAACGAAAAAGCACACGGCATAGCGCCCAGTGACAATGGAATCGAAGGGCTCATGGAGGACTGCTCACTGCTAGAGTGTGGACTCGACGGCGCCAATATCCTACAGCAGGTGGAGATCTACGCCTTCAAATCGGACGGACAGTTTGAGGTACAGTACAGTCAGTCAGAAGGAGGTGCGTGGAGCTGACACCGAGTTCTTGTTGTACTGTAGGGTACGCAGTATGTTGTGGGGGACTTTGTGGTGAGCGTTTGCACGTTCATGTCCCGCAATAATCTTCCCCGAGGTCTCATCATCGAGGTTCAGTACTCGCCGTGCTACACGGTATCTCATGTGGACTTACTGATCGACGAGTTCCTAAGCAACTTCGCCTCACATGAACATCTGCGCAAGCCTGTTGATAATATGCCGGCTCTGTTCGAGAAGGTGGGACTGCCAAACAACGAGTACAGCCTCAAGCACACGGCATTGCAATACGTCGCCGCTTTCAATATCCTACGCAAGTTTGAAAAGTAAAGTGCACTTCAGTCTGCGAATAAAGAAATCCTCAACTAGTACAGGCTTGCATTGCAGTACAGGCAAAAGAAATGTATTTGAGCAGATGAAAAGCAAGTTGGTCCCTAACTATTCCCTACTAATCTAAGACGAAGAACTGGGGGAGATGGCACTGCCGCCCAGCGACGCCAAAGGACTCGCACTCGAAGCGCCGGGTGCCGTTCCCCCCAGACACGTGCGGGCGACGTCATCGAACACTTCCTTGATTTCACTCGAGCACTCGAGATAGTCTTGCTCCCAGAACTTGTAGCTCTTGTTACGGATCAGCTCGATGAACGTCACCAGCAGACCCCACGGGTGCGGGCGGTTGGCGATGAGACGCTCAATGAGCACGCGCGTAATCTGCTCCTTGACCATCTTGTTGTTCGAGTACGAGAACAGGTACAGGATGACGCAGCTGAAGTAGTGCGTGTGGCTGTTCGGGTAACGCAGGTGGTTTGCCAACGAGCTAAAGTACCAGTAGCGGCCCTCCGTGTCCAGCTCGTCCGCCAGGTAGCGGAACACATCCATGGCCGCGGTTTGCTCAAACTTACTGGTCGTAGACTTGCCATCAGATCCAGACGACGCAGGCGCATTCGTAGGCGTTGAACCACCGTTGGCCATGTCGGCAATGCCCTCCTTGCCCAGGTACAGCACCAGCGCATTGAGAGCAGGCAACGCGTACTTACAGGACGTCGGGTCGCGCTCCAACTGGGCGGCAGGACGCATCAGCTTGGAGATGAGGTCAGCGGGGAACACCGAGGCGCGGTTCGCTGTAGCATGCAAGAACTCGTCGACATATTCCTTGATGTCGTTGTGCGTAAGGGCAGCTCCCCACGCAGGCATCAGCCGCGGGGCCACGCTCACTTCAGGGAGTTGCGCGACCTGAAGTCCCAGAGTGAGCGGGTCGGGGAGGCGCATCGTGCGCGAGAACGCCGACAGGATCACGTTACGCAGCTGAACACAAGCTGCAGGCAACACGTCACAAAAGCTCGTGTAGAAGTCGCTCAGGAAGTCTGGGTAATCGTGCAGAAGCACCAGAATGATACGCACCACACCCTTGTAGAGCGCAGCAATGGAGTCCGGTAGAGACACGTTCGAGTTCGCATGACGCAGGAATGGCTCCATGAACACGAGCAGGTTCATGAGCAGGCGGTGTAGAATCTGCCAGCCACGTTGCTGCTTCGCACGCAGTAGCAGCGGCATGAAGCAGCGGTGCGAGATGAGCTCTGTCCAAGCAAACACGAAGCCAGGAAGTCCCATAGGCTGCAGCGTGTTGTACGCGCTGGCAAATGTGTTGAGGACCTGAAGGTGGATAGCATCCAAAGCCGGTTCCTGAGCCGTCAACTCCTTCATGAGGTTCACGAACATACGGAAGAACACGCGCTGGTCGAAGGGGGCCTTCTTCTTGCGCGACAAGTCATGGGCGGCAACCAACACATTGGCAATTGCACCAACAGCATGGTTCAACACCTGAAGCTTCGCCGCGGGCGCTGGGTCAAGGTACTTGACCAGCAGCGCCATCAAGTGCGTCAGAGCGTCCAGCACCGCGTAGTTCAGCGGAACCTTCACGCCAGCCTTGAGCGCAGCGGGGTCACTCGCAGCGAAGGAGCTCTTCAAACATGCATCCACACACAGTTCCGTGCCGAACTTGAAAAACAGCGACACACTTTCGTCGTCAGCAAGCAATCCGTATTGCTTCAGCATCTGGAGATACTGAGCGTGCATCTTCGAGTTGCCCGTCGGTTCCTTGTAAATGGCGATCCAGTGCTCCAGCGCGTTGCTGACTGTGTGCTTGAAAGCTGCATGTTCCTGTACCAGAGGTCGCTCCCCAGTGGCCTTGGCAGCGCCACTACCAATCGCCCCCATACTCTTCTGTGGCGCTGGCGGCGCTGGGCGGTTCTGCAGCTTTTGCACACGAGCCTGCTCCAAGAGAGCAGCAAGAATCTGCACGTTCTTGTTCGCTGTAGCACCTCCGTGACGCTCCACAATGCGTGCAAGAGCTTCCAGAGTGTTCGGCAACTGGGCAGCGACAGCAACGTGCTCCATCATGAGGCATTGACGAACAACGTGGACTGCAAACTCGATAGCCACACTGTTGCGCTCCATGTTGCGAGCCAGGTACACGTCAAACTCACTAGCATCCACCACCTTGTAGCGGATAAGAGCCACAATAATTTCACAGTGAAGCTTCAGTTTATCGTCCACTGGGGCGCGCAAGACCCATCCAACAATCTCCTTGCGCAGCTTATCACAGCTGGCTGTCAGTGCCTCCAACGAGCTCACGAGAATCTCCAAGAACAGCTCGTTGCCTCGACCGCCGTTACCCAATTCGTACATGAACTTCACAATACGGTTCGCGATCTTGAGGCAGGCTTCATCGCGCAAAGCCGGTCGCACACTTCCACCCAGGGCACGAACCTCACGGAGAACAGCGAAGACCTCACTTTCAGCCGGAATCGCCAGCAGCGATGGAAGCTCACGCTGAGCAGCCGCAGCCTGACGAGCCACTTTTTGCACGAACAGCTCGAAACGCTCCAGTAATCCAGCAAAGCGATCCAACGCAGCAGTCACAGTCACACCAGCAGTGTCTCCCTCCTTGTCGACAGCAGCGCCTGAGTATGCGGCAGCACCTGGACGAGACGAAAGAGGCATTGAAGTGGGTCGTGGGATACGCTGGAAGGCCTCGTACACCACAAGTTGCATGGGCGGGACGCCACCAGGCTTGGGCTTAAAAACTTCAGGCAAAGCTGCTGGCCATTGGCCACTAGGAGCACCCGGAGAACCAGCAGAGGCCGCCACGGCCGAGCTGCTAGCGCTGCCCTCGAAGAAGTGCACTCCGTCGGCACCTGGTGCCTTTCCAGCCTGCGCTTGCTGCTGCTGGTATCGCCGACGTGATGCATAAGCACCTGCCAGAGCCTCATCGATGTCACGCATGGCTTTCTCGGACGACGCCTTCTCAATTAGCATACAACCCAGATCCGTGTTCTCGTTGGAACAAACCTGGATCACATGCTCAAGCTGCTGTGGGTCGCCAGCGCTGGTGGGAAGCAGAGCACGCAGATGCGTACCAATAGCATTGCGAAGCGGCTCCTTCGCCGTGATAAGTGCCAACGATCCAGACATTGACGCCACCATCAGATGCGCCGCCTTCCGCATCTTCGTATCATCACACTCCGTAGCAAAGTCTTTCAGAATCACCTCACGAGTAGTAATGCACGCAATTGTGACACTGCGCTCCACCACAGGTGAGATCACCTCGCGAATAGCACGATCCACGGCAAGAGGTACAAGACGACGCAAGTTCACGTTACGCAGTGGAAGCTCAGGGTTCACAGCAACATACGAAGCCAGGTTCGGAATCACCGTCGACTCTGCAGCAGCAGCTCCAGTATTGCTTGTTCCAAGACCGTAACCTGCCACTCCTTCCCTTCCAGTCGGACTGCCAGCAGGAGCGAACCCTTCGCCTGGCTTCTTCATCTTGCCCGGTGTCAGTGGTCGACCCAACTTGACTCCTGAGCCAGGAGGAGGCGTGGCAGACCGCTGTCCCATCATCGCATTCTTTGGGACCTTGACATTGAAGTCCGGGTTGGCAGTACGAGGTGGAGCACGACGCGTATGCAGAAGCTGCGCCTTGCGCTGGTCCTCCACGTTCAACTTGAACGACTTGAACAGGACTTCAATCTCGAACTTGAGATTAAGCTTCAGGTCCGGTACATCATAGATCTCGCTCATGGCATGGATAAGACCCATAACCCACGGGTTAGGCGGCTTGAAGATCTTCGACTTCTTGCAGCCTTCAAGGATCTTGGCAACGAAAGGCGTCACAGCAATAAGGTGACCAGTCTCGTAGCCCACGTACAGCAGCTCCTTCAAGTCCAAGTCACGCTGCAACAGAGGCTTGTTGCGCGCGAGGGTGAACACACCGAGCCACGAACCCAGATTCTTCAGCAATGAACGCTGTTGTGAGTTCGTCGTGATCGTTCCTGAGGTCAGCAGCTTGCGAGCATTCTGAAGAGTACGCTTCAGGATTTCACGCTCCAGCTCCGGACGCACGAGTTTTTCGATGAAGATCAGGTAAACCGTGTGGTAGTTGGGCTGAGTCGAGATACGCTTGACCACCAAATAGTTCGCGAGCCACGCGTGATACGCTGGTAGCAACATCTTACGCACCTCTGGGATCTTCGCTTCCAGGTTCGAAATCGACATGTTGTTCACAATGAAGTGGATTCGATCCTTCACGTTTTCGTCCGGTTGCTCGATCACCTCACTTTCGTCAACCTTGCTTGACTCGTGGAAGATGTGGTCCACATTCAGCTCCGGTGCAGGGGCAGCAGGAGGTGGTGGAGAGCCAGCCGGTGCATTGGGTGATGGAGAAGTCAATGATGGACCCGCCGACCGACTCAAGATCGAGGACGGGATCTGGATACCGATATCATCCTGAGCCTTCGCGGCAGGTGGCGGTGATCCAGCACCAAACGATGCGGCGCTGCTGCTCAGTCTCGAGGCTCCATCTCCCTCCGCCGCACCACCTAAAGGTGGTAATGTGCCACCCAATGATAAGGCACCACCACTGCCAGCACTCGCATCCACCGTAGGTCCTGACACAGCAATTGAACGAATAACTTGGTTCACTTGGCGCATGATCTCAGGCAGAGCGTGCTGCAAATGAGGGATTTGCGACAGGTTCGTACAGTACGCGGGCAATTCTCGCAACCGCGGCACAAACTGCTGCAACGCACATGCACCGAAGAAGAAGAATTTTGAGTTCACAGGCTCGCGAAGACTCTCCAGCACAGATCGCAGTGCAGTTTGCAGGAAGTTGGGTGGCAGCACTTGGTGCTCGATCAGCTTGCCGAAGAGAACGCCCGTAATCCGCAACTCCATCTCAGGATACCGTGGGAAGAATCGGTACTCATCGAACAGGTTGTGGATCATGCAGTAGAAGATCTGCCGCTCGCGCTCGTCACGAGAACCTTGGAAACGTTTCAGCATCGCCACGACGTCGTTGATATTCTGCTCGGACGTGTAGATCTGCTGGAAGTACGCGTTAGCCTGCTCCTCGATCATCTCCGCCGTGTACGTTGAGGTGTCCCCACCACTCGAGACTCCCTCGCCTCCAGCTCCAACACCTGCGCCTGCTGCAGCTGCGGCGCCAAGGCCAGCACCTGCCCCCACCACACCTGGTGCGTGCGCATTGCCAACTTCACCGGCGGGGCGTGTGGACGCCGAGATGACTGGGTGGGTTTCCATGCAGAGAGTGATAATACGCTTGAGCTCTTGTGCGATAGTAACGGGTAGCGCCCCCTGAACGGCCATAATACACTTAAGAATAGTCGCCAACGACTCAATAGACAGCACATGACTCGACTGCGGAGTAATGTTGCTCTTAGGCACCGCTCGAGCGTAGTTGCGGTGCACGAAGGCCAAGCACGAGGTCGCAAACGCCGTCCGTTGAGACGCCAGACGCTCCACCAGCCACGTCTCTAAGTTTAGCACGTCGTGGTTGGCTCCCATGGTGGCCAGTGCCAAAGCAAACGAGAAATAGTTCGAGTGGATGGCGGACGCGAACGAGTCACCAGTATTGCGGAAGAGCGCGAATAGCCGCGACACAATGTGTGGGGCCGTTGCAGCGTAGAAGCACTTGACACTCGCGTACAGTACCAGTTTGGGCGCTACAGACCACAGGTGGCGCATGATAAGCGGAGCATTGGGACGACCCATGATGTACGTGCTAAAGAGCTCCGAGAACATGTCATCACGTAGCGCGTTCCAACGAGGCGACGCCTGCGCCAAGTTGGCGATCAGAACATCCGGACAGGTCTTCATTGCGCTATCCAGAAGCTTGCGAACGTCACCGTAACAGTCTTGCTCCGATACTTGCAGTAGCGTGTCCACAATATCTAACGAGAACCACACACCATTCTTGGGGACAGCTGACGCGTCGGCGCCTTCGAACGGCGCGAGTTTGTGCGGCGATTCGGAGAACGAAAGCACTTCCGGTGGAGCCTCTACAGCGGCCTTCAGGATGCTAATGTGCGCGCGGCTGTTCTTCCAGGGCCGGAGCAAGGTCGTCACACGGAACTTGGTCTGCGAGAACCGCTGGAACGCCGTAATAAGCACACGGAGCTGAGCCACATTCTGGATGTTAAGATCGGCACGATCCAGCTTCTCCGCCACCTTGGTCCACTTGATAGAGCCGTAGTCTTTCTGCAACACATCAGCGATAACCTCGAGGTCCCAGTTTTCCCGCACGGGTGCAGCTGCTGCCTCGTCCGACGCGGACGCCTCAAAGTCAATCGTAAGATTCGCCATCAAAGTGGCTCCGTTCTTCGCATCCAGACCAGTGTAAGTCCGCGAGAGCATCGCCAGCATACCCGCGACTTGAGCCGGTGGGATCGTGGGTGCCTTCGCCAGTCCAGCCTCAGCCAGAAGCGTACGGAACGCCTGTGGAGATGCCGTACACGAGTAGCCGACATCCTCCATCAATTCATAGAACAGACAGCTCGAAGACACGTCCGAGATGAGCTTACTGAGCGAGTCCGAGTCCGTCACGGGTTCGCAGTCCACGTGTTCGGGGTCGCCCATGGTCAATGGGGCCATTTCAAGCGAACCCATGTCGTTCGGGTGCGCTGAGGAGATACTAGCGAGGAATGAGTCGGTCTCGGCGATGTTGGCGTGGAATTCCTTCTTCATACGCAGCACGAAGACGAGCGAGTGGAGCACGTCCGACGGAAGTTTGGCACCGCAGGACGAGATCTCGGGGATTTTGGTGCGCAGGAACTGGATGGCTTGGGCGGAGCTCTCGGCGTTCTCGCCCTGGGCGAAGGCTAGACCGACCGTCACTTGCTGGGGGAGACTGAGCTTCAGAGTCTTACAGAAGAACTGGAGGAATTCCTCGGTCACATGTCGTCCACTGACGGCTGCGGAGTCGGGCGAGCTTCCTTCGATCGCCTGTCATAAAATATCATAAATTTACAATAAAATTTAAAATATTGCGAAAAGATAGCGCCGAGGACGCACCTCGCAGATGAAAGTGGTGAAATTAGGGCGCGACGAGGCCTGGGCGACCTCGTGCGTGAGCAGTTGGATCTTCAGTGCGTCCTTCTGGCCACGAGCGTCGCGGAAATCGATGTCCTTGACGAGGCAGTTGAGTAGGAAGATACGCGCGTCTTCTCCATAGAGCTCCACGAGCTGAAACAGCCGTAAGCAACAAACAGAGTTAGTATACAGCCCTGAGGGAGGCAGTACAATGGCCAAAAGATCCGTACCTGGTTGAGCTCAGCCACATTGGACTTGAAGTTTTTCTTGCTGAGGTTGGTCACCAAATAGTTGATCTGCCAGAACAGCGGCGACGCGAACGACACCATCTTGCGTCGCAGGCGGGTCCTAGGCGAGAGTGTAGGAGGCTGAAAGGAAGGGGGGGGCTGCACCTTCCTCGCTGGCTGGTTGCGGTCTTTAGCTTCTGGAGGGCGCGATGGCTTTTGTGAAGAGCTACAGAGAGGGGGAAACAGAGTTTTATACACAACACAATTTTCAAAATCATGTTTTTTAATCGATGTATAAAACAAAGAGCGACTTGACGAAGCTTGGACCTGCTGGGGCAACGAGAGCGGGGGAAGATGGCCACGACGCCGGCACATGCGCTCCACTTTGACGCAGCACCAGAGGCCAGCGCCTTCTTCTTCGGCAACGTGCTGGGCCAAGGCTCCTACGCCAAGGTGGGTCGACATTGAGCACTGGAGTTGCTGAAATGAGACTGACGCTAGTCGGATGTCATTATTGTTTCCATGGTCTCCACTCGCAGGTTTTCCATGCGCAGCTGAAGAAGAGTCGCATGGACTTCGCCGTGAAGGTGATGGACCAGAGCTTCATCCGCAAGGAGAACAAGACGGCCTTCGTACTCACAGAGCGCAAGGTCATGTCACGCCTCTCGCACCCTAATATCGTCAAGTTCTACTGCAGCTTCCGCGTAAGGTGACCTGGATCCTTGAATGCCGCCGTGCACGGCCCTTGAACAGCGTTTAGCTGCTGGCTGAGTTGGTGCGGCACCGCAAAAAGGAACCCATCTGTTCACCTCGTCTCATGTTTTTGCTGTGTCTGGTTGTGGATACAGGACCACCACAGCTTGTACCTGGTCATGGAATTGTGTCGCGGTGGCGATCTCTTCGGACTCATCAGGTGCGTGGTGTACAGGGCTGCAACAGCGCTCAATATCTAACTGGATCGCCTGTAATTTTGCGTAGCACGGAGTATCAAAAGCAACAGGGGCAAGGTGTATCGGATGCGGCGTGCTCTTTCAAACTCACGCAATTCTACACGGCAGAGCTGGTCAACGCATTTGAGTATATGCACTCTCAGGTACTGCAACTTGAATGTGGAATATTTGGAGGTGGATCTTGCTGAGCTGGGCTAGTCTAACTGAGGCTTGCTCCTCTGTAGCATGTCATCCACCGCGACATCAAGCCTGACAATCTGCTCCTCAGGTATGTTGGGTTGGGTATGTAGAGTGGCTTTATATTACGGCTACACTCTAACGATTGTTGTGTTGTCTCTTGCAGTGAGCAAGGACACTTGAAAGTGACTGATTTCGGCACTGCAAAGGTGAGAGGGGCCTCCATAACCTGTGGGAACCTGATTGTTCTCTTTGTCAATACTTAAGTATTTCTTATTTCTTAATTAAAGATTTGCTTGTTTTTACATGAAGGATCAAGATGGAGAGAGTAGCGACGTTTGTCAGTTTTGTGGCACGGCCTCGTATGTGTCTCCGGAAGTTTTGCACGACAAACCGGCCTCACGAGCAGCCGATCTATGGGCAATGGGTTGCTTAATCTTCCAGGTTGTCTGGATCTGGCTGCAGCAGTAGTTGTCGATTGGACATGTTGACTCATAACAATCGTATTTGTGTAGATGTTAACTGGTCGTGCTCCTTTTGTTGGAGAAAATGACTACCTAACTTTCCAAGTGGTGAGATCGGTGTCTTGCTTCTTTTTTTATTTAATTTCATGTTGATACTCTGACATTCTGGGTCTTGCAGATTATTAACCATTCGAGCGATGAGTTCGAGTTCCCAAGTAGTGTCCCGGAAACCGCGCAGGATCTGATCCGTAAACTTCTTGTTCAGGTAGCTTCACGCTCTAGTTGTTTCAATTAAGTCATGGATGACAAACCGACTCATTTGTGCATTGCCCTCAGGACCCCGACGAACGCATTGGCGCTCAGCAGAACGAAGAAGGCTACGCCGAACTGAAGGTCAGTTTAAGTTGATAGTGCGCTGACATGTGAGCTGCGATATCTAACGGTGTTGTGGCTGCACAGAATCACCCGTTTTTCGAAGGCGTCGAATGGGACAGCATTAACGACAAGACTCCACCCTACAACCCTCCCAAACTAGATTTGCCCGAGCCAAAGCTGGTACGTAGACTACGTATAATGTATCATGTATCACTTCCAGAGACTAACTATAGTTGATGCAACAGGATGGCGCTTCGGAGAACTGGACAGTTGCTGAGTACTTTTCGGACGATTTCTCTGAAAGCACAACGGACGAGTTCAGGTACTATTGTTTCGCGTAAGCACTATGATATACAGTATTTCTTATTCGCTTGGCATTACTGTTTCTGCTCATAGCAGCAGCAAACGTTCGCGGAGTAGCAGCTCTCTCCAGAGGAGTCGACCTGCTTGCATCGGTTATGACGAGCAGATCCGCTTTGAATCCACTGTGAAAGTCCGCTCCAAGATGTTTAATCGCACCCGAGAGGTACAACATGATTTACAGGAGATTTCATTTGTGACGGTAGTACTAACTCGCTTTGATCGCTGATTCGTTGACAGCTCTACCTCACTGATGCACCACGATTGATCGTAATCAGTGCGTGGTCTGGCCGCTTTAAACGCGAACTTTTCCTGACTCCGGACACTACTGTAAACGAAATCGATCCCCATACGTTCGACGTTGTATCGGTACGTAGCAACTCGCACGGTATTGCTACTCAGTACTGCAAGTATTAGCTGTGGCTGACTCCTCTTTTTGTGGATCTATAGCGTTCAGATACGATCCGAATCACCGACACCAACAACCTTGCACAGCAGTGGGCACGTGCCATCTCGGAGGCCGTCTCAGAGTAGGTAGAGCAAGTCGGGGAATGGAGGCGTGGACGTGAGCCGTCTAAAGAAATACAACGTCAACGTTAGGTCTTGTTTCCGTCAAAGTTGAAGTGAGTGTAGCCATTTATGTAGTAATTATGTGGTACACAAGTCCATGCACCAAGGCTTGACGATGGCGGCGGAAGCGGAGGAGGGCGTGGTGGATCTGCTACGGCGTCTACGCTCCCACATCTGCTCTCAGTCTCGGAGCGAATTCCGACGCGTGCTGCCACTCTACCACCGACTTCTGAGTCCCGTATGTGCTGCCAGTGACCAGCTAACTGCCTCTCCAGTTTCTCCTCTCTGACGTGCGCTTATATGTAGCGTGAATCCGCAAGCGTATCGGTTCAGAACGAGCTGCTAGATATACGAGCAAAGCTGCTGGCGTGCGAACAAGACGCAGATGTGTGCGTAGTGGTGTTAATGCTGGTTGTGGTTGTGAACTGAGGCTAAGTATCATTCTGTGACCAGAACGAACGTCGTGGACCGTATGGATCGCGTGGTGGAGCGCTGCATGAGCATTGAGCAGCAACAGCAGCAGAGTACAGAGACAGCAGGTCTGTTCGAGACTGGTAGAGAAACTTGGCCTCAGCTGACGACCAATGGTTGAATGTGTGGCAGTTCCAATAGACGACATCATGCGGCTGCTGGTTGCACTCGCCGGTGGAGAAGACGGTGATACATTTGTGTTTGAAGATCCCATGCAAGCAACGAGCGAAAAGTCCAACATGGTATGACAGCGCTGTTCGTGATTAGTGTTGCTGGTTTGCTGTAGTTTTCATCGTAATATTTGCCTATTGACAGATCTTCGCTGATGATAAAAAGCGTGTTGGTGATCGCATTCGAATGAACGACATTGAAATGGTGCAGCGCTCAAGAGCGCTCTTTCATAAGTCGCCAATTTTGCTCCAAGAGAGAGCGTAAGTACTTAACTTTGCGTCCGACGTCACACTCTCGGCTTCATCTCTGATTAGTATCTGGTGACTATGCTCAGACTCTTCTCGCAGGACTTGTTTAGCAATTTCGGCAATGGGATATCTAGTCGACACACCAGTCTATGGTGTCCTAATGGTGCTGTACCTGAAGATAAAGGGCAGCTTTCAATGATGCCATTCAAACAGGTAAGTGATGAGAAAGCTATAGAGGACTATCGAAATGGTTCTAAGTACACTTGTATGGCCATGCATCTGTAGCCTAATCAGTTCTTTGGCCTTCCTAGCAACCAAGACGACGATCGCGCTTCGATTCCACTGTATGAATTTCAGTTTTGGACTGAATAAACACTGTCAGGTTTTACTAATGCATTATTATGGGTTATCAGAGATACTCCAAAGCGTCAGCGTCATGGTCAAGGTTCGACTGATACTTGCAAGACGCTCAAGACAGTGATGCCTGGAAAACAAGCAAAGTGTTTGTCACCAAGGAAAGACGTTTTCTTCTATGACGGCACACAAGAAGTGCATTTTAAAGGACAAACGCTGCAGGCAGACTGGGGAGATGCGAGCAGCATTACAGAAAAATCGTCGTGGGGATCGGAATGTTCTCTTGATAGTATTGAACGCTGGTTAGCGCACACGTACGCATGGGAAGACCTGGGAGACCGAATGGAGTTACCTGAGGGTTACGCCAAACCGTCAGTTCGAGAAAGAAATCGGTCCATTCGTGACGTAGCGATTCCTGATGATTTTGCTCTAAACGGGGATATACCACTGGAGGTACGCGAAGAAGACATTATTGAGGTGAGTTGCGCTATTAAAATTTGGGAGTGCGTTTTGGCAAAGGAATCGTTGCTGATATTGGTCGTGATTACGAAGGATTCGCTGCGAGCATTGAGTGGAATCGACTCCACACTTTTTCGGAGAGATTTTAAGTCGGCGTCGTTCCAGCTGCCTGGGATCCGTAACATCAAGCTCTCAAACACAACTGTATCGACCACAATATCCGTTTTAGAGGTATGCTCGGATTCGATGTTTCACATTGCATCGAAGATGAGGCTTTTGTGTTGCTTTGGCTTATGCTGCTGTTTGGTTAGGCATTTCGGAAAACCGGAACCATGGTTATGAGGTTAGAATTACTAGCTATCTATTACTCACAAGATCCTGCAAGAGGAGGAAAGACGCTTCAAGCCATGGGAGATGCACTTCTGCTGTTCCTGTCAACACATCGAGTAAGCCGCTGTATGGTGTAATGCAGGAGTCCATGTGTTTCTAACATTTTAGCTTGCTTGAATTAGATGCTTGTAGAATCGATCACGCTGGAATGTCTGAAATCTTTGCCAAGCGAGGTAGATCAAGAGGACGAGATTATATCGATCACAAAACTATTGTGCAAGACGCGCAAAGTATGTCGTGTTATGGAAACCATTGGCGGCATATTTGGTTGCGATGCGGACTTCTTCTGGCCATTGCTGCAACATGGTAGGTACTTCAATGCTATAGAGATGGGATCGTTAACCTCACAATTCTTATTATTGAATCCTATAGGTCAATTCCCGCGTGGAATCGCGTTGATTAATCGTTTGCATCACTACGTCTCCTCTCTACGCGTGGAAGATTCTTCAGGGCTTATGCAAGAGCTGGTGATCTGGTTTCTTGTGAAGTCATGCTCACCGTTCTTATCTGTGCTGTCCGACCTCATTTCGTCGGGGAGAGTGAATGAGTCAATCGATGCTTTTGTAAGTCCCGAACCTGACTATGTGGTGTAGCCGGGCTTTACACTGACGTGTGCTCTTGTTGGTGGCCGCGTTAGGACGAGTTTGAAGTCACTATGTGGAGCAGAATTCTGTTAGAAAAAGCCGCTGCTGGAAGTGGGGATGGGCTTTTCAGTGAAGAACTATCGACTGAGGCGACCAAGATGTTCCCAAAGTTTATGGTTGGTATCGCACCCATGATTATCCACGTTAGTCAAGTTCAAGCGCTACTGCGAAGCGTGAATGCTATTGCTTATACTCATCCTCTGGTAGGTGCTGAGGGAATGATTAGTTTTCTTTGTAATTACTACTGACAAGTACCGTGGGTACTTTAGGTAAATATGCAAGCGTTGAGAATGCTTGCTTGTGGGGATGAAGCTGCTGAGCATGCAGAGAAGTGGAAAGCAGTAGTAGAAGCCATGACATTTACTGGAGGTACCTATCATTCAGACGACACTGAGCCCTCTAAGACGGAAATGGCTGTTGCAGCAGCATCTAAAGAGGAGTCAAGACGAGATTTCATCCGCGAAGACGTAAGTCTCTGGATTAATACGGCAATTCTTCCCTTGCAGATTGCTTGTTACTGAGTCTTGTGGCGTTACGTGGCAAGGTTGAAACAAAAAGAAGATCTCAGTTGGAGCAACATTACATGCTAGATCAACAAATTCTGGAGCAGAAGCAACGCAGACTTCAACAAGAGCAGCAGGAACAAGCCGAAGACGCTAGACGACTCGATGATGAAGAGAAAGCTCTAGCAGACCAGGAGGTTTATGGACGTGAGGTTCTTTTGGACAAGTACGTCACCATACAGCCGATTTACTGTGCATTATTAGTGTTGGCTTACGGAGTTTTTTTTTGTCGTTGACTAACTTGCTCGTAGATTCTCAGTATTAATGAATGACGCCGAAGAGCGACATGATTACATGAAATGGCGGCGAGATCGTGCCGTGCGCTTGTCGACCGCAAAGGGACAGCTTCAACGTGTTCGCTTAGATGATATGGCGAAATGGACAGCAGGTACGAGCGACTGCACTTGTGAAAATGATCTAACTATCACTAACTTTCAATGTCGATATCTAATTAGAAAAAGAAAAACGGCGTAACGAGTCAATACCTCGTGCACCTGAAGTGAATATTGCTGTCGAGAACAACGACCAACGTGCATCTGAACCAGCGGTGGCAGGGGTGCCATCAACGATAACTCTAACTTCCGAGTGGAGAGCATCTGTGAAAGTGAACAAGGAAGCGGGGAGTCGTACCTCGGCAACTACTGACGATGGAGATAGGAGAGCATCGGTGAAAGTGAATAAGGAGGCGGGGGCCCGAAAATCGGTATCCGATAATGATGGCGTTTGGAGAGCTTCAGTGAAAGTGAATAAGGAGGCTGGCAGTCGTAGTTCGGGTATTCTCAATGACTCAGCATCCGCTGAAGTGGCATCCTGCAAAACGGGTATCCGTATTCTAAACGAACCCGGAGGAAGTGATGCGGATATGTACGGGACTCTCTATGGCAAGACGGATGTGCCTGACAAAGCAAATACTCAAGCGGAGACCGAAGTTGATTCTGCGGCAGAAGGTGGACTAGATGATGTCGAGATGGAAGATAGCAGTGCTGTGGATCGAGTTGAACCAACGGGTGATACTACACCAGTTGGGACTCCCACACAGGAAGAGCTAGACATTGAAATGCAGGCCGTAATTCATGATGACGATGAAGCCACTAATCGAGGAAACAACAGCGGTGAGGAGCTGTCATCTGACACAATTGAAATGGCTGGTATTGCTGAACCAGCAGAGTCTTTCCGACTATCTCTTCCTCCCGTACACCCATTCTTTTCGGTGGCTATCGCTCAAGAAGATTCCGAGCTGCTGACCCAGGCATTGACAGAGGTAAACCTGCTCTTACTTCTGTGCCTGAACGTCCCCTCCAACATCACTAACCTTTTTCGTGCCATGCCCTGTAGACTGCTTCTGAGGCTGAGTTTATTTCCTTTACGTCGATTGTCGACTGTTGTGTGGAGATCCCCGTTCGTCTTGTTGAGGAAAAGCTGGAACAGGTGGCGGTGGACTGGTTTCGAAACTCACTGCGGGTGCTCGATTATCTACGCTGGCTGCGGAAGTTGATGCTCATGTCAGAAGGACTTTGCATGGACATCTTCGCGCGTGATATCCTTCAGGGTTTAGACCCCACGACTCGTGTGAATTGGGGACTTGAAGGTCGCCTTTCGTCTGCTCTCACGTTGGCCATGATCGAGGGATCCGTGGCGCTGGATGCTATTTCACAAGCTTTTCATTACAACACTACCGCAGCACTGTCACCGAGTAAGTTTTTCACGTTAAGTTGCCACATCATAGTCTCTCCCACTCATCCCCTGTTGCTGTTGCAGTATTGGATAGTTTGACAATGAGGCCAGCCGTTCCAAGCGTCATCAAAGAAATCGAGTTAGTGTACGATGTCAAGTGGCCGCTGGGTTTTGTGATCACCACGCAGTCGCTGGATCACTACAAGAAGATGCACCAATTTCTGCTTCACGTACGACTGACATCATTGGAAATGCGAGAGGCTTGGGGGTTGTTGCGAAGTATCCGCGCACAAGGACAACTATCTTCATCGCTTGAGCGGCAATGTGGGGGCGTAGTCTACAAGATGCAGGCCTTCCTCCGGGCATTCAACGAGACTTTTGCCACAAAGGTTAGTGGAAATCGAGATACTATCCTAGATAACCATACTGACATTGTGGTAGGTGTTAATGATGGCGTGGTCCAAACTCGAGCATGCAGTACAGGCAGCAACAACACTGGTGGAACTGCGTCACTGTCACGAGGAATATGTATCGGTTGCAACTCTCTGTTGCTTCCTGGACAGACCTGCACTAACAGTAAGCCTTAACCTCTTCCTGCGTCTTGATTGATCTATTTGATGCTGATGAGGGTGGCTTGTATTTCACAGATCCGCTCGGCTTTCTTAGACACACTCGCAGCAGCCTGGAGCTTGACCGGATTCGTGAGGGCATTAGAAAGGCAAGTGACAGGGAGGATTTCCGAAGAGACTCGCATCCGTGCGTTGTGCTACGAGTTCGACGTCGCGCTCCGAGTTCTGGTTAGCAGTCTGCAAAGCGTTACTCGTGATGTGGATAGAAACACTCGAGAGTTTTCAGAGGTACGTGAACTGTTTGGCCCTTGCTTTGATTTACTGTTCCTGCGCATACACGCGTGATTTAGAGATGTTGATAGAAAAAATATGGCACTCTAATGTGCTGACGCCTGTGCTGCTACTTGCTGCGTAGTGTCTCCTACTCCGGTTAAACTTCAATCAGTTTTACTCCGCAGCCCCAGTAACAGCAGAAGCAGGAGCACCAGGCGATCGAGTGTCTGCAGCCATGGAATTCTAGTACCCGACGTCAAATAAAAATGAAATATACTGACCTGGAAGGCGTTCCCCTTGGCCAAACTCTTCAGAAGAATAGACGATGTGTGTCCTTGAGATGAAGATGACGCTGGCACAGTGGACACTTCCCACTGGCTCGGATCGCTTGGTGGATGCAGCCGGCACAGAATATATGTCCACATAATGTGGAGGTCATGTCTTCCAATACATCCAGGCAAATGCTGCACTTGAGTCGTCGCTTGAATTCCTCCACCACTTCACTGTTCTGTATACTGATATTGGTAGACTCGGCACTTCTCGTGTCCGTCACGCGCTGGCGTTTAAGCTCCAGTACTCTGTTGGCTCCTGATCGACGTCGCTTTCGGGGCAAAGGCGCTGGTTGATAAACACCCGAAGAGTCCAGAATCTCGATGATGTCACCGCTATCTGCTGCGTCGTGGCCGCCGTTTTCGCCCTCATCTGACGAGACAGTAAGGTCGATCTCTTCTGGCTGATGTACTGGGCCTGTATCTGTGTCATTCAGATCTTGGTCGTCCTGTAAGTGCACTGTGCGGGGTACAACGAAGTGGTTGCGCGTTCCCTGGTCCTCGTCCTCATCATTAAGTAAATTATCCATAGCGGCCCCGTTGGCAGTGGATCCGAGCGTGTTTCTGATCCTGTTTCTGTTATCTATCTCTGTTCCACTGCTACCGGGACTACTGGCTGTGCTGCTGTCTATGGAGGCGCCAAAACTCGAGGGCATAAAGCGCCTGGGAAGCGTCATGAAATGGTTCAGAGGCGGCAGCGTCCACCCGCCCGAGCCTCCGTCAGTTGCAGAAGGGGGAAGGAGTGTACCGGCGGACGGACGAAGAAATCGGGTGTTGTTGCTGTTACGCGCTGGCGAGGCATAAGACGAGTGAGACGCAGAAGCCACGGCCACCTCGGGAAGACGCATCTTGAGTTGAGCTTTATGCTGGGCTAGAACGATAAGAATCGCAGCAAACGTGGAGTAGTGTACACAAGTCTAATTTTTATGAGGATTTGTGTACACCACTTCAGATTTGTAATAAAAGTACAGTAACGTATTTATAGAGTTTGTAGATTTCGACTTGACGTGCAGTTATTATACAGTCCGCTTACGGACAAGCCAGCATGAGCGTGGCGGCGGCGCCACATGAGCTGGTGCTGCAGGGCTATCTGCACAAACAGGTGCGTGCATTTCCTGGCTGGGTATGAGGAGACTTGACTGACGCTGTGGATTGCTGTCGTTGCGAGCAGAGCAAACACTTGAAAATCTGGCGCATCCGCTACTTTATGCTCACAAAGGCAAGCGACTTGACAAAGAAAGAAGAATTTATTGCTACCTGCGATCTAGAGGTTGACGCTGTTGTTTATTATCTCAAACTTATAGAATGATATTACATACTCGACCAAGTCTGGCCGAAAGCCGCGGCTGCTGCTGACACTAGGAGACGTCCAAGTGGTGCGTGTTGACGGTAGGGTAAGCGCGATGACAATAGATTGGCACTAACTTGGAGACGGTTGTTGACATTTCATGGCAGATTGACGATCAGAACCAAGTGCGACATCCAGGCAACTTTGTGTTCGTGCTGCAGACCCCGGCCCGGAAACTCTTTTTGAGTGCGACGACAGAGCAGGAGCGTCGCCGCTGGGTCACGGAATTACGCGTATTACTACCTGGAAGTTACGATGATCTACACCGGTCAACCTTAGAGTCGACCTTAATTGGACGGAATCCATCTAGCGCAGCTAAGACGTCGAATGCAGGTGCTACTATACAGCATAACCTGAAGAGGTCTAACAAACGCGCGTCTAAAGAGCGGCGTCTGGAGCGGAAACGACAACAGCTTCCAAAGTTGAAGCAGACGTATACTGAGGTGTGGTTGGATGAAGTATTTACTCATCCGAGTGGAAGCACGCGCGATGATGTGCCTCTGTTGGATGCACTGTGCTTTGCGGGTATTCCAAAGGAGCTTCGTGGTCGAGCTTGGGCTTGGATACTCGGGAACACGCTTCAAGTGAACGAAGATTTGTTTAAAATATGCAAAGCTCGAGCTCAGGCTGTGTTGATGGAGATGTCCTTAAAGCGGGACGTGGACCACTCGGTCGTTGAGACGCCATCAGTCAGCTCCGAAAGTGCAAGTGCCATGCTCGAGCCACCATCAAGAAGTGTTTCTAACGTAAGCAGTGCATCATCCGCTTCGGAATCCATTGTGGAAGATAGTGAAGCACCAACACTAACGGAATACGGAAGAGACTCGTCGACAACAATGCTAATACCGGAGATCAGTGACCGGAAACGAGCAAGGCGGTCGTCTGCAGTTCTGCCTGTGCAAAATATGTTACAGGATGCGGTTGGTATCGCCGAAATGCTCGTCGCGCACGGAGAGCGCAGCATTAAGCTTGTTAACGTCGATATGCCACGCACTTTTGGTCATCACCCATTGTTTCAGCCTGGTGCGGAGGGAACCGAGCGCACGACTGAGGTATTGGAAGCGTACATTTGCTACCGTCCGGATCTGGGTTACGTGCAAGGAATGAGCTACTTGGCGGCCACATTGTGTTTTCACATGGATAGCTTCACTGCGTTCAAGGCGCTGGTTGCGCTGATGAGCTCGAGCCTGCTTTTTGACATGTTCCGTCTTGAGGCAACGCGGGTACGTGGTTGTCCTTGACTTTGTCCTGTTTCCTGATTAATGAGCCCTTATTATTTTGTTTTTTGTTTTTTGTGAAGACGTTCCACTACATCGATGTGTACAACCAGATATTCGAATACGAATTACCGGCCTTATCAGCCCATTTTCATGAGATCGGTATTGACGCGCAAATGTATGCCGTAGACTGGTAAGTTAGTTGGATACGCTGCTTAGAATGATCCGGGTGTTTACATTTCTGGTTTGGTTTACCAACTGACGAGGATGCTTGTGCAGGGCTCTCACTCTATTTACTCGTAGCTTGCCGCTGGATCTCGCGTTGCGCATTTGGGATGTCTACGTCCTGTTGGGAACGCCGTTCTTCTTCCAAGCCAGCATGGGTAAGACTTCTGCTTACGTTGAATTTTATTCAGCCATGTAAGACTGATTGTGTTGTGCTTATGTTGTGCAGGGCTATTGTCTCTTTTTCAGGACTCGTTGCTGGCGATGGAAGCGGAAGAAATCATGCGACTGCTGCATAATTTCCCCAAGAACACGTCGTCACGACAGCTTTTCAAAGCCATTTCGTCGGTGAGTCTCTCCTGTGAGGAGATCACCGAGCTGCTGGCCGGAGGGAAGCTCTGGTCGCCCGACGAGGCTCGCGAGGTACCTGTCAAGTATCCCGACACCTACGAGTGAGCGAATAGCCCACTTTAACTTGCAGATCGTAAGTACCAGCCAAGTAAATGATCATCAATTTTGTCTTCTCATCCGTGAGTCACAAAAAGCGAGATGGCTACATCTTGAGTCAAAACTCTCGCTTAAGTATCGAAACAAACTTAATCGAGTCTAAGGACTCGAACCACCAACACTTTTCATATTGCTCCGATTAGATTACTAGACCCCCTTCAAGACGATGGCGACCCGCGGCAAGCCCAGCGTGTTTTCAGCCTTTAACCAGTTGCGTGTGACTGAGGACTTTGACTCCGACGACGGTAGTGCTGAGGAGCGACAGCAGGAGCGCAAGGAGAAGCAGAAACAGAAGAAAAAGTCTCGCAACAAGAAGAAGAGCAGGTAGAGAATGGCGTCGTTTACTGCTGCTGGACTATTGGACTATTATTGTGTACACTGACGTCTGTATCTGTGTGATGTAGTGACTCGGCGCAGCTTAAGGACCTCGCGTTCGTATCGGTGTCCAAGCCGAAGAAGAGTAAGAGCAAGAAGAACAAAGCGGCGACCAATGCGCAGTCCCAGTCTCCTCCTGGATCGCCAGTTGAAGAAGTACCAGCTGTCATCAGCGTTAGCGAAGAGAAGGAGGAAATGGCTGAGCCTAAGCGTTCAATGGCAGATATGATCAAAGCGGCGCCGCAGCCGCATAAGGTAAGGCACCAGAGCTTTAAATTATTGCTGCCGTAGCTTGATAGTGATGCTGACTGTTTCGATCATTGACATTTGCATTGCAGACCGCTGCGGTACCCAATGGTGTCGATAGGAAGTCGCAGCCTCCAGCTCAGCAGCAGCGACAGAAAAAGGTGAGTTTGATCGAATAGCCCGATGCCTCGCGATTGAATGGGCTGCTCACGGAGATTTGGTGCACTTTTAGGCCACGCCTCCTCCAAAGCAACAGCAGCCTCAAGAGAAACAGCAACAGCAAAATGCAGCGCCGCCCCACGTTCCAACCGCCGCCCCTGTAACTAGTGCACCGCAGTCTTCATCGGAGACGGAGTTGGGCGCGGTGTACACACCGTCGCACATTACGATCACACGCGTGGATGGCCAAATGAAGCGCACGGTGGCAGTGACGGAAGTGATGGATCAGCTCCTTCGCTACACTCAACAAAACGCGCAACTACTGATGGTGCAGGAGCAGCTTGGGGTACGTAGCTGATCACCACTGCTAGGATGGTTTTAACGTGTGTGCGATGACTTTTTAGCACGCGAATCGCAATCTACAGGACCAATTGCAACGCAGCGCTGGTACGTGTCGTGGCGGTTTCGCTCGATCTCATGAAGTACATTCTTCATTTTGACTGACAATCGACGGTTTTGCGTGTATGGTTTCTACCCTCTTGGTGGGACCAACAGAGATCATCAACGGGCTGCAGAATGAAGTGACGATGTTTCGGCAAATGTGTCTAAACTTGCAGGCCGAGGTGAGTGGATCATTTTGTCCTGCTGTTTGACTTGCGATGGCAATTTATTGCGGCCAATGCAAGTGTATTGCATCGCAGTAGAAAACAAGTTGTGACGGGCAGCCATGTGGCTCACTCCTATGCGAACTCTGTCCATCTGTGTAGGTATCGCTACTTCGCTCCAGCACCACCGTGTCGACCACCCCAGATGCTGGCAACAATCCCCAGCCACAGCATCATCACCGCCCGCCGCCTGGCATGTCCTGAGCTCGGAGACATCGTAGAAAACTGAAGCAACTTTACGGGCGTAAGGCATGTGACCAACCATAACGCCCGTCCTCCCAATAGAAGTGGACTTGCAAGTCCGGTAGCTGTACGCACTGTTTGCTTTTGGGCTCGTGCGGAGCCAAAGGAACGCCTACTCCTCATCGTCTCACTTCCGTCCAGCCAAACTGTTTCACTAATGCTTTAAAAAGTGTCAGTTGGCAAAATGACACCACAAATCTCGACTGGAGTAATCGAGACAATTGCTCTGTGTGGATTTCGAGGTTGCTTCGATGCATTTTCCCACGAAATTGGTGCTAAACTTTTCAGTTGCCACCTGCTGGCCATACATGGTCATCTCGACGGGCAATAACGGCGCGTTGTGCTATACATTGCACTGAAAAGAGTCTTGTAGAGAGATCTCGCAACCAGACACGCCACCTTCTTTCGGACAAGACGGGAAGCGCGCTCCTACATTTTGCGCTTGTACCAGAATCTGGTGTCAGAGTGATTGTAATGGAGCAGTAGTGGCAGCCATCCAAGCGGCCATAGTGGAACCAAGTAAAAAGGGTTCGGTACGCCAGTCAAGCCCGTCCAGTTTTTATTGCCTTCTGGCAATTGGGGGGAACTGTAACTTAGAGGCAGCTGTTGGATCTCTATCCGCAGTCGCACCCACGACTAACTCTGCCATTCGCGCTTCTCCGCTCGAACGTGAACGTCCGCCGTCCGCGTTACCATTTTTCCTATACAGTGTGTGTAGTGAGTGCATTTCATTATCTAAATCCTCAACCATGGTCGGCACCATGAACAGAATCAAGAATAAACTGCGCAGTAGTCGACTGCACAAAAAGGAGGGCGCGTGGGCGCTGGACGAGGACTCGCTGCGTCTCAAGCAGACGCAGGACGACGACCCCGTGCGCTTCGACCGCAGCACGACGCTGGCGGATACCGTCAATGTGACGGACGACGTGGAGGAAATGTTCTACGGCCGCAGCACGTCCAATACCTCCTCGGACATGCCGCAGTACCGCACGACAGAGCAGATTCGCGCCAACAACATGACGCTCTCAGCACTCCACGAAGACGTCGAGGCCAGTAATGTCAGCAACGTCAGCAGCAGCTTCTCGCAGTTCTCAACCACGACGCCTAGCAACTATGCAGCCTCCACGCCTGGGAATTTCTCCAGTACCTACCACGGCTTCAACACGGTCCACAGCACAACAGGCACGTCACGTGCTGTCAGTGGAGACTTCGAACTGGAACGTCTTCGCTCTGAGGTGCTGGAGGTTAAAGAAGAGGTCAAAGCCATTCGACGAGAAGTCATGAACGAGCTACACGTGACGCGATACGACGTGCTCAAGGAGTTGGCGCTTCTCAAGGGCGCCATCGCTCAGTTGACTGCGACACAGCACAGTGCGCCCCCGTCGGTATCATCTACAGAGAGCTCGTCATCAGACCCTTTGTCGGCTGAAGAGCGCGCTGCTCTGACGCGTCAGACGTCCACCAAGACGTCACAAGCCACACGTGATCGTCTCGCTGCGTCTCGTACTAATATCCACAAGACGCCGCCACCTGCAGCGCGGGCCAGTGTGAGACTAACACAATTGGCACCTGTGGCAGACAATGCACTGTCGACGCCCTTGAGTCCACAGCAGATCAACGAGATGTTCCCACTCATCGACTTTACGTCGGAGCTTGCAGCACACGCTCGTGGCTTGACTCCTGGTACTCGTACATGGGCGTTAACCCGTGTGGAAGAGTGGCTGGATGCTCGGTTTAATGTCGGCAATGACACACTCCTGGCTGTCGTCGGAGAGGGAGGAACCGGTAAAAGCGCCTTTTGTGGTACAGTGGCTCAGCAGTTCCGTGGGAATCTGTTGGCTGCGCACTGCTGTCAATTCGACCGTAAGAGCAAGAGCAGTCCCAGAAATGTGCTGCTGTCTATGGTGCATCAGCTTGTGGATAACTTACCGTCGTTCAAGAACCAACTGGCCAGACTAAACCTCAAGTATGTGCTGGAAGAAGCAGACCCGTTCCTACTGGCTGGTAAAGTGCTGGTGGACCCGTTGAATGCTATGGAGGAGCCCATGCACGCTACGTTCATGTTGGTGGACGGAATCGACCAGTGCGCGGCCGGATTGAACGGCCGCAATGAGCTGCTGGAGTTCTTCGCTCAAGTGATTCCTCAACTCCCATCGTGGGTCGGATTCCTGATATCATCAAAGCCGTCGTCCAAGCTGGCTAAGCGCCTTCCAGTATCGTCGGTATTGGACTTCAGTGCCAAGAACGGAGCGTTCGTAGCTGACGTGTCTTCGATTGTCGATGATATCGCTCGAAACTTCAGCGATGACGACACTGCAGAGGCCAAGAAGGTGCTGAAGAAGAAGAGTGGTGGGAACTTTGCCTACTTGGAGTTCACCAAGCAGGCTCTATCACATCCGGGAATGGCAGCTGCAAGTAAGGAAGGTGCAGTACCGCTCGAAGTTCTCCATGAGTTACCGGAGACTTTGTACGACATTTATGCTGAGATCTTCGAGGACAAGTTCGGACAGGGACGTGCTCGCGTGTGGGGCAAGGCCAAACCCCTGTTACAGCTGATTGTTGGTGCAGCAGCAGGTCCGTACTCGCCCATGACGGAGGAACAGGCTAAGGAGCACTTCAAGTTCACAGCTGAAGACCTGCGGATGTTGCGTCGATCCTTCGTGGACCTTGTGGCAGTAAAGCACGGTGCATACCGTATCGAGAGCTCTGCGTTGTGCGCGTGGCTGAGTGACCCTGCTCGGTCTGAAGAGCAGTTTTACTTCAGCATTGACGACGCGCTGCAAGCTCTGCGTAAAATGCGCCGTGTCAGTTCCAGTGGCTCCAGTAGCGGCCACTCCGGCAGCTCGTCGGACGGTAAAGCCACTCACAGAGCGAGCAGCAGGGTAAAAACATCCAGCAAGACGCACCAGCGAGCACACACACGTCACGAGCCCCGTGCCAATCCGGACTTCAAACCCGTGGGTATTCTCAAGCGCAACAAGTTGTAGATGAATTGTGTAAGGCTTTTGTGGACACCTTTTGACCCAAATAAGTATTGGATGTTTGCTATCACTTTATCGGCGTCGTCGCTGCATTTTCCCAAGTCTGTCGCTCTTGCCGCCGCCTGTAGATGCTCGGACAGCAGACAACACCTGGGCGAAGTTACCACTACGCCCTGATACGGGTCGGGATGGAGACGAAACCATGTTGATAGTCGAGCCAGCTTCTCGACCGATAACTTCCAGTGCTGTACGCAGGAACGCCAGAGCTCCTTCCATAGTCTCTCCAATGCTCAAGACGCCGAAGACGCCTGCTGTGAGACTATCTGCGAGCAGGAAGAGTGTGCCTAGTGTTCTCTCCACGTCGAAGCACACGCCATGTAACCTACAGGCGTGGAAGAAAGCTGTGTACTGCATGGTGGTCACGTGCGGATGGAACACGTACGAGCACACCACGAAGCACCGCGGAGCTCCTGCGAGCGAATCTTTGGCCAGTGAAGCTTCACGCAACAACAAGTCCGTAGTGCAGCCACTTCCGTTCCGTCCGGTGACTGTCGTCAGTGATTTGCTTGCCACTCGATAGGCACCTGAATTGGTATCCAACACACCGCGAGCGAGCAAGTGGAAGCAAGCGAAGCTGGCAGCTGAATCTGTGAGGAAAGGGTGTACGGCGAGAGCCCATAGACGTGGTGCACCGTTGCTCTTTTCATCCTGGAAGACCACGAAGTCCAAACTGACGTAGCCCCAGACATTCGTCTCCACTAGCAACTTCCCGGCAGCGTTGCATGCACCCTACAAAGAGAATCAACAGCAGTCAGTACGAGGGTGATAATGCTGCACAACAATGCACCAAAGACGCACCTTAATCGCCTCATGCGGTGCTGCAGTCTGAGGAAACGTGAACGCCACAGTCTTCCGGTTCAGCCCGCCACCTCCAGTTGCCAGCACATTCTGCGTCGACGTGACGTGTACGGAGCCATCCGGATCAACAAACAAGTTTGCACGTACGTAAGCCGGTTCCACCAGCGCTGTTGATGCCTCTGGAGACGCAGCAATGGCTGTAGGGGGCACAGCTTCAATGACACAACCGAAATGGCCGACAGCATCGATGTAGTCTCGCCATGTTGGGAACATTTCGGAGTGCATGGGCGCCGCAAGTCTCGCTAGCATCCCCGGACGCTCTAGTTCAGCCAGAATCATCTTCGCCGCTGCATCACGAGGCCCCGGTTGGCGCCAATACTCGGGTGTCCGCTTCTCTCGACGCAACTCTCGCATCGCTTGAATGTTTGACAGATCAACGACTGCTTCGCCCACTCCAAGAGGATCATAGTCAAGCTTGATCAGCCACTTCGGTTGATCCATGTGAGCGATAGCCAGTTTAGCAAGCGCTGCGCAGAGTTCGTGTTCATCGTACAACTCGTAGGTGCCATTGGGGACATTTACATCAGCTCGGATCAATAGCCGCTTGCCACCCGAGCGAGTGAGCAACGGCAGAGCTTGAGCTGGTGGGGCACCGAGGATCGGCAGATCCAGAGCAATCGCCAGTCGTTGATCTTCAGCACCAGGTAGCCCCATCACAAGGTAAGCTTCTTTGCCAGTAGTGTAGTGTCGGATTCGTCGCAAACAATGAGGCGAGTAGAGAAGCAACGACGAGAGCGAGAAATGCGCTGGAAAACGTGTGGATTGCTCTGGAAAAACGAACTTGACACGAGGTCCGCTGTCCACAAGACCACCAAGTTGCAGCAGTTTGAGGAAATACTGTAAAACATCCGCTGTGAGCTCGAACGGCGACACATACACTAGCAGGTCCACGTTCGAGTCCAGTGCAACAGCGCACACTCGAGTAAGTTGAAGATTCTGCTGTACGGCAAAATTCTCAGCACTTAGACGATAATGCTCATCAAGGGATAACGACGGCACGTGAACCACAACACGCCGGCGTGCTGCGATTTGTGACCACTGAGACTTTAGGGTGCACATCCTTTTCTCCCATTTCTCGAGTTTCTCTCGACGAACTTCTCGTAGTCGAGTTTTGAGAGCTGTATGGCAACTGTAAGCTCGCCACGCTAGCTGAATTTTGGTCGCGTTGATGTCACTGGCTCGAGATCTCGCATACCGCCGACGGACTAACCACATACGGATACAGGCTTGGACTGTAGTAGCAGCACGGCGTTTACGATCTCTCCCTTTATACCGCTGGCCTGGACGTCGCAACACTGACATAATCTGGTCTTCATTCACGATGCAGGATAAAAGTTCACGTTTGGAGAATCGAGGCTGACCGGTACCTGCGAGTGCTAGCAATCGTTGACCATCAACATAAGCCAGTGGCACGAAATACTGGGTCAGCAGAGCCTCCAGCGCTCGTAATGCTTCTTCGACACTACCCCAAAGTTCTTGTGCCACGCGGCGGAACGAAATAAACTCGGGTGTGTCTCGCATGGTTCGTCCCTTGTGAATCAAAAACTGATGTAAGCTATACGCATCCAACAGCTCGTTGTAACCACGGATTTTATCGACATTTGCGCCCAGTTCCTCCATCTCAGCGTCTTCGTCCTTGCCATTTTCATCGTTTTCCTGATCCTCATCTGAGACGTCGTCGTCACTGAAACGGCCTCTGTTGTTGTCCATGTCTTCGCCCTGGTTCGTGAAGGCAGCGACTGCAGCTGACATTAACGAAGTTTGATGAGCAGATCGACTATTCTTCACTTTGTTGCCAGATTTCGGGAACGACATCGTAACTCGGTTGGGGCCTTGTACAGCTGAACTCTTTCTTACGCTTCGTCTTCTTGTTGTGCTTTCAGGAGGCATCAGGTCCTTAGATTCAGGTATAGGAGGTGGGGGTGTTGGTGGAGCGCAAAGATCGAATTTCAGTGATGCCAGGTTATACCCTGTAGACTGCGTAAAAGGAGTAGACCGCACTGCTTGCTCGGAGCGGTCGTAGATTCGAGTCGCTCGTTGCTTCATAATTCCACCGCAAGAGCCATTGCTCGTACCATTTGGTCCTGCGAAGGCTGGAGTTAGATCTGCGTATGCAGGGAGGAACCCGCGTGTGACCAAGTTTAAAACACCGTGCTTGGCATCCTCCTCGCGCAATTCCGGTGCCGGTGCGCTTGGATCAACTTTGTTGACACTAGGCAATAGACGACAGTGTTGAGTGGTTTTCTTACGCATGAGACGACCGTGATGAACTCCGAAATGTCGTTGCCAAGGCTCAGGTGACGGCATCAAAGACTGGCGAATTTCAACGCTACTGTTTCGAAATTGCTGGAGTCCATACAAAAGACTGACGTTAGGTATTTCCTTTTCACAACTTTAGCCAACAGCACTCACCTCTCGAAAGAATTCCATAGGAATCGAGCTTGCGTCCATTTGTCTAGGCTTATTAGCTCCATTGTATCCACTTCGGTGCTTGGTCGACGGCAGAGCAGCAACCGTGACAGCAGGAAGAAAATTTCCACTCTGAGTCTGATTGTTTTGTGCATTGTTACTGCTGTTGACCATTCCATTGAGCACGAGTTCCGCTTTGGAGCGAAGCTCCGTCTCCGTCTGCTGCAGAATCGCGTTGAAAGCCTGCACCTCAGCTGTTGTCACTATAGCACTGTGACGCATTGGCGATGCATTGGCCTCCACTGCCGCTGCAGCTGCCGTCATCTGCTCTCGCATTACACGAAGCTGCTCCTGTGTCTGCAACAGCAACCGCCCCACATCTTCCACATGCTGCTGCTGCTGCACCTTCTCCATCTTGTCAACTCTTCCAGGGTCTTACCGCCGCCAAGAGAGTCCAATTGCCATCCAGCTCCAATTATACCAGCCATTCAAACGTGAGATGCTGCATCACTTGAGTTTGTCTGCCTATGCCATTAATAGGGCGGTCGGACACAAATTTACAGCACGAAGCTCACTTTCTGGTGCTCGTTAATCCCCTCACAAGACCCCACAGTCTGTCTTTGCGACTTTAACATGAACATCTTGCGAGTTCCTGAGCACGGCACGACTGCTTCGGGTGACAAGGCTCGGCCAACATCATGCGAGGGTTACGTAACCAAACGAGGTCATTTCCGAAAGTCTTGGCGCGTTCGATTCCTGGTTGTGGATGGATCCAACCTGCAAGTCTCGTACTACGAAAGTCGCGCTGCTTGCCACCCACCGACGGGTGAACCGTCCGCGCCCAAGGGGAGTTTCTACCTGTCGAGTATTGAACCACACGAGTATGTTGTCGGCGTCATGGGAGCTGCTGACAAACCTTTCGGCTTTAAAATGGTCGGACATGCCCCCAAGAAAGGATACGTTGAGCTGGACGTGTTCGTGGACACACTGGCTGATCGTAACAAGTGGCTGGAGGTCGCTCGCAATGCACTAAGTGTCAAGCGTCAACTAACACGCCAAGCCATCGACCAGAGTGTGAGTCCAAACAAAAAGACTCTGTTCGGCTTCAGCGTCGCATTGTCTCCACAGCCAGCAATGTCGCCCCAGAAGCAGATGCAGACACTGGCCAAAAGCAAAGATGAGCTGCTCTCGGAAGCTCTACGTGAGCTCGAAGCTGCAAAGCTCGTCGGTCGTGAAGCCTGCAACGAGATCGTCATCCAAGGAGAGAAGCTGGACACCATCGAACAGGATCTCAGCGCCATTGATCGCGATCTCGACTTCGGTGATAAACTCCTGCGTCGTCTCAAGAGCCCCACGTTGCATCTCTTCTCGGACGACTCGCGTCCTAAATCCACCGGGGGCTCGAAGGGAAGTTCACCTCAGCGCTTCCACCAATCTGGTGGTAGCAGTCCCTCTCGTCTTCCACCTGCCTTCGACACCAGTAGCGACGCCGGTGGCAGTGATTTGGAGCGACTGGCACAAGCTCTTGGAGAACTTGAGGTGCAGGCGGAAATGCTGAACGGAGAGGCCAGCCATAGCTCCCAGCAGATTGAGCGTATCGAGCATCACCTCACGAATGTCACGACTCGTGTCGAGAAGCAGACAAAGCAGGCCTCAGCAACGCTGAGTGCCGGTCCCAGACTCTTCTAACGAGGCCTACATCAGCATAAAAACAGAGAAAATATAGCCACCTCACCCTGCCAAACAATGGTACTCTCTGCGGAACGACGTGTCAGATTTTCGTCTTGAATTGCTTCTTCAGTGTCTAGAAAATGGGGCGTGGCGGGCCGCTCTTGCGGTCCAGGAAGTATTGACGACGCAGTAGCTGGTGGTGGCGCCTGAGTCCGCCCTCCATGTCCTGCGTCTTCCAGCGTGCGTTCTCCTCGCCCTTTTCCTCGAATTCGTCCGCGTTGACGCGCTGTCCGTTGCGGTAGATGTAGCGCTGCACGCCCATGTCTGCATTTGTAACCAGTCAGACCAGTCACAAAAAAATACGGACACAGTATAAGGCACTCACTGGACTCGGCGCGGGGTGTGACGATCTTCAGGTAACTGAGCGACGACTGCGCGCGCTGGATGAGCGCCGACACCCTGCGGAGAATAGGAGCCAATTAGTCTAGGACAGACAAGGGTGGCGATGTATAAGATTAATGCGCACTCTTGGGGGTCTGTGAGGTCTCCGTGGTTGCGAAAATCTCGACGGATCTGGTCAATTGACGACTGGCGCTTGGGCTCCGGTAGACTCTGCGCCAGACGCAACAGCTTCTTATACAGAGGACGCAACTCGCGCATGGCCTCCGCCATCTCGATCGGTTGATTTGATGTGCGGCTGTGCGAGGTAACCCCGAAATGGTTACGCGTAACCCCACGTTGAAGAGCAATGTACCCCAGAAGAGGTTTGGATCGAAGTGGAGATTGAATCACACTACGCAGTGTATATGGACCACGGGCAAGACGGTGGTCGCATTTGAATTGAAAGCTCTGACAATTGTATGGAGTACCGAGGTCTTTCATCTTCAGAAACCAAAACGGCGGCTCTGATCCTGAGGGGCACGTTGCAGTATCGTGCGTTATGGCTAACATGCACATTGGTGTAATTCGTTGTATTGGGCAAGCCGACAACTCTTTTGAATGAAGAATATCTCAATTTCTCAATTAAACGCGAAATGGTTTAAGCGCATGTATTTCAGTAATAACAGTAAAGACCGATGATCGGTCCGATCATCTGAGAAGCTCTTCACAAGACGACCATGTCTCCACGAACAATCCTCACACACAGCAGGACCCCGTATGCAAATTACATGTTCGTTCATCATTCTGTGTACAGTACTCCGTTTCAATGAATGTGACCGGCCTGGAGCCTTGGGCCCTTACGTGCTGTATAGCACAATAAGAGTCCAACTTGCAGCTCACGTTTGCGCAGCAAGTCTTCGAATGAAGAGGAAGACCCTTCATTATGAGATGGGAGGCGGCACTGTCACAGCAGGCATCCGGTGTCTTTAAGGCAGTGTCTTGTTGTTGGTCATACGCCCACCCTGTATAGCCCAGTGAGAACACGATTTTCACAGCACTAAAAACTATTATACATAGAACTACAACGGTCGATATAAACGATAATGATCTGGACTTGCAAAGATATAATAGTTATTATGCCAGCATGCGTGCCAGGCACCAATGAATTTACACGTTGGTTACCTCAGTGCGAACTGGTACTCACTCGAGTTTTTGGGAAGTCAGTCAAGCAAATCTCAAAATGTGAGCATAGAGACCTTACCTCCAAACATAAAACGTAGATCACCGAAATGCTTGCGGTCCGTGCAGAACTGTATTTCGCTATTGTCACCACTGAGAGCTCGCCGTTGGACGGCGGTGAGCACCAAAAAAACGAAGGAAAGATGAACTATCGGGCTGTCCTCATCGCTGTAGTCGCTTCACTTGCTGCGGTTGTTGAGGGCCAAGTCATCGGACACAACCAGGTTCGGCCATTTCCGGAGCCAGAGCCTGTTACCTTTTCTCAAAAGGCCGCCGTAAAGTATAAACCCCAACTCAAGATCGAGGACGGATGCCATCCGTACCCCGCTGTCCAGAAGGACGGCTCCATTAGCGGCGGACTCAAGTGGAGTGGCCCCCAGGATGGCGAATGTACAGGTTCGAAGTTGGGCTCTCAGATCTATGCTCGGTCCAAGTGGGTGAACGATGTATGGGCAATTATGTACGCTTGGTATTTCCCGAAAGGCCGAGGGGCAGTGCCCGTACCGCTCATTCTTCGACTCTTCGGTCACCGTCACAACTGGGAGTACGCTATCGTCTGGATCGACAACCCTGAGCTTGAAAACTCTACCATTCTAGGCGTATCGATGTCTGCTAGTGTCGGCTATGCGAGCCAGACACCCCCTGAAACGAGGTATGTGGATGGCGACAGCGTCAAGCTCAAATACTACTATAACCACCTTTTAGGAAGCACATCGCTGCAGCTCACAGAAGCCACCGGCGAATTCCAGGATCTCATTACGTGGGATGAGCTCTCGAAGCTGGCGCGGTACTCTCTAAACCACACAGACTGGGACGAGACTCTGTTTAACTTGGCAGGACTTAAGATGCCGCTGAAGGACGGCGTGTTTGACGAGCTACTGAATAAGGCCTGGCCGTTTTAGAATCTCGAGATTATTAACCAAGCTCCGCGCTTGGGTGGCACGGAGCTAAACTCTAACATTAATACAGAACCAATGTACCAGTGTTCTAGTAAGGAAGGTATACCGGTACTTGTGTGAAGACGCGATTTAGGTGCGAAACTACATCGCTCGTAAGTCCTTTTGTCACTTCTGCTAGTGCTGATCATTTCATCGGTCACCCAACACACGACACGAGTTTCCTGTCTTCTCTCTAAAGAAAACCTGTCTTGATGATATTTTAATATCATCAAGACAGTTTTTTTATAAGTTCATTTTATTAAAATAAATTAACTTATATCTTTAAGTTAAACAAGCTTGTGATACTGATTTGAGTTATCTTCCAGCCAATCAAGACCTTCCATTCACCCGCTATCCGTTCTCCTGGAATGGACGTGGGGAACAAGCGCAAGAAGATGGCGTCGGGAGTCAAGTACGTCTCGATCTTGCTCTGTCTACATTCGTATCTTAACTAACTCTTCCCATTACATCCGTCTACAGCTTAGAAGAGACACTGTCAACAACTTCGGACTCGTCCGTGGTCACGTTCCACCTCGCTGGATGGAAGACTTGTCCGTCTTTCGTCAAGGCCCGAGAGGTGGCGGCGGCCATGCAAATGCTGTACCCGGACCGAGTAAGCTTTGAGGCTCACCCGTTCGAGGACCGAGGCGCCTTCAAGCAGTGGCTCAGTGCCTCCCAGGAGGACATCAGTGCCAGTTTTGGGGCTGACTCCAAGGCCGCAAAGCACGTCACGTCGCCCTTTGTGTGGAGTAGCAACCCTACGACGTTTGTGGGCGGATGTGACGACCTTCTGGCATTCTTCCGCTCCGGCATCGCAGCGGGGAAGCATCAGGGGGTGACACCAAGCGAGAACCAGCCTACCGCAACTGCTCCTGCTACGGAGACTGACGCTCCTATGCCTGAAGTTACTGCTGAGACCTCTCCAGCTGATGCTGAGAAGGAGACGAGCTATGATTACGACCTGGTGGTGATTGGTGGCGGCTCAGGAGGCCTAGCCTGCTCCAAAGAGGCGGCGTCGTTGGGACAGAAGGTCTGTGTACTTGATTACGTCAAGCCGTCGCCCCAGGGCACGTCCTGGGGTCTTGGTGGCACGTGCGTGAATGTTGGTTGCATCCCTAAGAAGCTCATGCACCAGAGCTCTCTGATTGGTGAAGTCATGCACCACGACAGTGCCAACTTCGGTTGGAACGTCGAAGGAAGCGCACCGACGTTCGACTGGAAGCAGTTGGTGACTAACGTGGATGGATACATCAAGGGCATCAATTTCAAGTATAAGGTGGAGCTGCGCAGCAAATACGTTAAGTACGAAAACTTCATGGGCTCCTTCATCGACCCGCACACTCTGGAGTTGTGGCACCCTCGCAAGGGCACGAAGCAGATCACTACGCGCGATGTGGTGATTGCTGTGGGTGGTCGACCCAGGGAGTTGACCTGTCCTGGTGGAGAGCACGCGATTTCAAGTGACGACATCTTCTGGATGAAGAAGAAGGAGCCAGGCAAGACGCTGGTTGTTGGCGCCTCGTATGTCGCGCTGGAGTGTGCAGGCTTCTTGAAGGGCATGGGATACGACGTGAAGGTGATGGTTCGCTCCATCTTGCTTCGTGGTTTTGACCAGGACATGGCCACTAAAATCGGCGAGTACATGGAGGTGCAGTCGGGCATTGAGTTTATTCGCAAGACGGTTCCGCAGTCTATTACGAAGCTCGAGAACGGTCAGCTGTTGGTCAAGTGGACTAGTGAAGATGGCGAGAGCTGCGAGGAGGCTTTCGATACGGTACTCAACGCAACGGGCCGCGATCCGGACGTTGCCAAGCTGGGACTGGACAAGGCTGGAGTGAAGCTGAACGAGAAGTCTGGTCGCATTTGGGTCAAGAATGAACAGACCTCGACGCCGAACATTTATGCCATTGGTGATGTCATTGACGCCCCGGAGCTCACCCCAGTGGCTATTCAGGCTGGACGCTTGCTCTCGCGTCGTTTATACAACAATTCTACTGTTCAGATGGACTATGACAAGGTATGCACTGCAGTGTTCACCCCCATCGAGTACGGGTGCTGCGGACTATCGGAGGAAAACAGCATTGAGCGCTATGGAGAGGACAATATCGAGGTATACCACACGAACTTTGTACCGCTGGAGTGGTCACTGTCGACGGAGACTCGCACTGCCGCTGAGTCGTGTTACGTGAAGGTGGTTTGCGATAAGACTCGCGATAAGTTCGTGGTGGGATTCCACTATTTGGGTCCGAATGCTGGAGAGGTGACGCAGGCTATGGGCTTGGCAATGAAGCTGGGCTTCACGTACGACCAGATGGTTGACACAGTGGGCATTCACCCGACGACGGCCGAGTCGTTCACGACTTTGGAGGTGACGAAAAGCAGTGGTGGCGCCACCACTGGCGGAGGTTGCTGAGGTTAAGCTCCCCCCTGCTTTCCTCTAGAACCTACTAGTCGTTTTGCATTTCGCTCATCTACAAGGTTGTCCTTGTAGGTCGAGTCTTTGCATAGCATTAGGAGGTGGAAAGGAGGGGGGAGGAGGCATCTGACGGAGGCCAGGCTGCTGAGGTTTTGCCTTCTCTACGATGCAGTTGTCGTTGTGACATTGCAGTATTGAAAGAGGACCTTGGTTGGCTTGACGGAAGACTTGTGCTGAGTAATGACGCTCTTTCCAGAAATCCTTAGCGGGAGGGGAAATCGAGCTGAGAATCGGTACTTCAGAGTCTTCCACGCCATGAGTCGGTGCTTCCTCGCATCGCTTGCCGGTGGTTAAGATACGGGTAGAGTTATCATCGGACGGAGCGAGGCGTTGCATTCAAATTTGCATGAAAACCAAAAGAATAATCGAGATAGTTCGTAGAGAAAATGTTCCAAGCAGCTGTGACTGCATCGATAAACTTTTCTCTAATCTAAACAGTTATCTCGATCGGTAGCACTAGCCAATTATTCGCTTGTGCAAGTCTAGCCGCTACCATCTGGCTGCTCCTTCCCACGTTGCATGGGCCTCTTCCGACACTACGCCATATACACATCGATCAACATGAGACTGAGTGGCACCTCTCTGTGTTCTACTTCCCTTCTCCTGCTCGCTTTGCTGGCCGCCTGCATCGCCGGCCAGCGTCGGCTGGACGCGGGTCTGGGCGAGGGTCAGGTCGTGCTGCACCCGCCGCCCTTCTTCGTCGTGGATGGTCTGGACTTTCAGGGCATGGCACTCGCCTATTTACAGGAGCAGGGCGTCAACACGAGCATCGAAGCGCAGAGCTGGATGCAGCAGCACGGATACACTTCGCTGCGTGCCATGCTGGACGACGAGTCCCTGTACAAGGTGACGGAGGAGGCCATCTTCGAGTGCGGACTCACAAGTCCCAGGACTGAGACGCAGCCTATCCCGACAAACAACTCGTTCCAGACGTCGGGATATACGCTGGATGGCCCGTGCGAGGTCTGGCTGGACGACACGAAGGTGTCCTCGGGCCGCAACTGCCACACCGAATTCCCTCACGGCCAGCATGAGGTCGACTACAGCTCATGCGGGAAGGCGTGCACACTCTCGTGGTATTGGCTCGGCATTAAGTACATTGAGGGAATCTACTCGTGGCAGGTCTACAAGAACTGCGTGGGGCTAAGCACAGCGCCAACGGCTTAGGTGCCAGGGAGTAGTGTTCGCTGGGGACAGCTCTGCTCCCTGCCTGTTGCGTGGTGCATGTGCTCATACATGTAAGAAATATATCGCCAGGTTTTACTACAGAAGTTGCGCGCAATGCGATGGAGCTTTCATCATATCGGCCCGCAGTGGCAACTCCGAACAGTTTTTTTTTTTTTTTGAAAGCTGAGCAGCTAGATTATTTACTGCGAGAGATTTTTCATTTCGCGTCGGCACGCTTCTGGTCTTCTGGTAGGAATTCAATCCAACTGTCAGCTTACTTGAGAATCCAGGCGTTTGGCGTGTGGAGCGAACGCCTTTACTTATGAGCTCGACCACGACTGCTATTCTGCATTTTGCAGAGGCATCAGCAGAACCAGCTGGAAGGGTACCTTGGTGATCGAAAGTCCAGCACATTTTCGGTGCGGCGATCGCGTGCCGGCAATGCAAAACTTTTTTGGAGGTGACGTAGGAAGTCAATGGTCAAAGGCGTTGTAGCGCAGGTTGCTAAGGCCCTCATAACTGTTCGAGTACTTGGCTTACATTGTACATGCCGACGGCGTAAATCAACTGTCGTTGCCAACCAAATTCTTGCTCTCCGAGCATAAGAGAAGTTGAAGAGGGATTCAATCCTCGGTCCCATGAGATACATGCACATGTAACTTACATTGTAAGTAGCTTCGGCGGATGACAAAGAAACACCCAACAGACAACACCTGCAATCGTGACAAAGGCTAAGGCCTCTACGCTCGCGTTGCCTCTACACTTGGAATTTAACCTAACGTTACTGAGACTTTGCTTTCATGCCAGACAACACCGCCTTCGATTTGCAATGTGCTGAACGACTACCGCAATTGCTGTAGAGGAGGGATGACTGTCCTCTTCCGATAACCACGGTGCTTGCTTCTATGCAAGTTGCATCCGCCGTCACACCGGCTGGTGGTCAATCTTACTGCAAGAAACGCTGTTCGCACTCTCTCGACACCACCAGACCAGGCATGCCTCCTCACTGCGCGGTCACTTTCATGACCCCATTTCGGACTGCAAAACTCCCTCCTCCTTTACTCACTTTCCATTCCTCCACGTCCTCGCCACACCTTGATCGTCAATGGCTCCTTCTCTACTTTCGTCCCTCTCCGTGGCTGCTGTGCTTTCCAGCGCGGCGCTACTTGCTCCCACGTCCAATGCCCACCAAGTTGTGCTCCTGCCAGCCCCGACCTACACGACTGATAACAAGGACACTAAGTATGCACCATTGGCCTTCCTGGAGAACCAGGGATACGAGACCGTCGAGGATTTCAACGGGTGGCGCCGCAACAACGGGTACAAGACCCTGCGTGACTTCATGGACCGCGCCAAGTACACCGTCACTGATGGAGCGGACTACTACTGCGGTTTCACGAACGTCAACGCCGCACCTCAGCCCATTCCGGACGGAACAATGCGCTCCACGGGTTACACCCACGATGGTCCGTGTGAGGTTTGGCTCGACACCAAACGCGTGCTCCAGTCGGACAACTGCCACGAGACCATCAGTGGCAAGACTTACAACCTTGACTACAGCTCGTGCACTGGTACCTGCACACTTCGTTGGTACTGGCTGGGCGTACGCTACCTCAAGAATGCCTACTCGTGGCAGATCTACAAGGCTTGCATCCCGCTTTCGGCTTCAGCTCGACGCCTTGAGAGTGCCGCGAACGAATCGGTCGCCTTGGAGGTTTAAGTACCAGTTGCCACGGCCACCTCGAAGATTATGATCCTAAAGCGATCATAACTTACGTATATGTGTGAAGTGCTTAGGTATAACCTCAATATCAGTTTTGCTGTTTACTAAATTTAGCAAGTTGCTAAGGTTGTGTCTTCATATATCGTTGAAGTGCCTGAGAGTCCAATATCATGATTGGGATTGTACGTAAATCATCATCGAGAAAAATAACATGTAATAATAACCTTGTGGCCATGCAGTCTACTTCACTTGAAATTTTTCGATAGTCGTTCTTGAACGCAGTGCATAAGAATTGCACGTTAACCCAACTGTCAAAAAAAAAATTTTTTTTTTACGAAACCACACATTACAGCGCAACACAAATTAATCTCCCTTCAGTTTTTTTTTTTTTTTTTTTTCTTCATTTCCCTGTCGAGCATCTTTCCTGACAGCTTAGAAGTCGATGATCGCAGATTCGTTGGCCGCACCCTCAAGACGGCGAGCAGAAGTGGAAAGGGGGACACAGGCCTTGTAAATCTGCCACGAGTATTCGTTCTTCAGGTAGCGGACACCCAGCCAGAACCAATAGAGTGTGCAGGTGGACGTGCACGAGCTATAGTCGATCGTGTAGTATTTGCCACTGATGGCTTCATGGCAGTTGTCGTACTGCATGACCATGGTGTCGTCCAGCCACACCTCACACGGGCCGTCGTGCGTGTACCCAGTCGAACGCATAGCGTTGCCATCCGGAATGGGCTGAACGTCTCCATTGATGTTGGTGAAGCCACAGGTGAGATCAGCACCGTCACTCACAGTGTACGAGGCACCATCGTTGAAGGCACGCAGAGAATCATAACCATTGTCCTTGCGCCAGGCTGTGAAGTCCTCTTGTGTCGCGAAACCCTGATCTTCCAAGAATGCGAGAGGGGCGTACTTGGTGTCCTTGTCGTCCGTAGTGTACGTAGGCGCTGACAACAACACAACCTGGTGGGCATTGGCGAGCAGAGTAGCACTGGAGAGAACGACAGCAGTTGAGAGCGAGGAAACGTGTGACGAAACCATGGTGTGTGGAGTTCAGAGTCGATAGTTGTTGCTTTGGGCGCGGTAAAAGTCGAAGTGAGCTTGTCGATTAACAGTGAAGACTTCGCACGCGTGACGCGGGATTTCTGCAGAGTCTTGTCTTCTACTAAAGGTCACACACCATCCTGGTATCCACCATGCCATCACCGGAAAAGGCAGGACGAGTATATCCCATGCGGTTTTCAGATAGGGTGAGAGCGATCTCAAACCTGCTGCTTCAAACCTCAAGAAGATCATCGCCGAAATGTATGATACATGTAATTTTCTGCGTATTGAGCCTGTGGCTCCCGGTAGCGTTCGGTTTTTGCAGATGAAGGCGGCGGCTCTCGTAACTCACACAATGAAAAATCAAAAGCTTTTACATGATGATCTGGCAATTATTTTACTCCGAGTATGTTATTTTTAAAGAAATAGGTTTGTTTTTCTTAAATATTTTAAAATTAAGTATGTAACGGCAATATAACGTATAATATCGATTAGAGTTCCCCTAGCAAATAGAGTGCCCT